GCATAGAGCAGAATTCCCAGGAGAGGGACATGGTGTTACACTCACTATAGTGGATGCCTTAATTAGAGATGGGTGGTGAAAAGCAGCAGAGCTTCATTAAACTCAGCAGAGTTCAACATTTTCCAAGGATCTGACCCATAAATTCCAGTACCAAAAATGCAATTTTTTTCCATATTCAAGTGCAGATAAATACTTGAGGCAAGCAGTGAATGCAAATGGAATTCCCTAGCTGTGGTCTAGAAGGTAAATATGGGTTTAGCTTTCATGAAACTCAGAGAAAAAAAAAAAAAAAAAGAAAGAATAAAAAAGCAAAGCAGCTGATCAGTCATGTTAAACATAAATGACAGTTTACTTGTGATACTAAAAGGGGATTTTAGCTTCATTAAAAACAAAAGCTAACTACTATGAAGGAGATGAGTGAACTATTACAACACTGAAAGACTTAAAAACGATACCCCAGGAGATAACATTCTGAGAATAAAGTGAAAGAGCTCATATAAAATACAAAAGGTGTGTTGTAAAGAAGGATCAGAAGGGCAGACTTTGAGCTTCATCCAGTCATAAATCAAAAGCTTGTTCTCCATCATTCTTGTCTATGAGGTCAGCTTTGATTCCCAAGCCACAATTCCCAAAGGATGGAGGCATTTCTATTGGCAAGTATGTGTCTTTCTTCCCCCGGGCTGCCTCTGCCAGCCCTGCTGTCACCATGGACTGTCATTATCTCAATCTCTTTACTGCCCAGGATTGTTCCATCCCGGAGCCACAGGGAACTATCACAGGGCTGCGAGAGGAAAACCCATTCAGAAGACTGGGGGCATTTGCAACAGATTAATTGACAAAGAAGTTTATCAAGCCAGGCCATCTGCAATAGTTCAGTGATTCTCCTTCACGGGGACCAAATGCTTTAGCACTCCAGGTGACATGGCAGGGATACAAGCTGTTACACAAAATAAAAGTGTTCAAAACAGCTCAAAGACTCTAACTCACCAAAGAATATAATATCACTTCTCTACCCCGTCATGTGCTTCATATCTTTTCATTTGAGTAATTGAAGCAATAATCTGTGATCTTTAGCTCAGGCAGACCAGCCACACTGACAAGAACAGTTTACTTGTGGTACTAAAAGGAGATTTTGTGTAAATAGGGCTCCCCACCTGAGCACTGGAGACTGGTTCAGCCCCTCCGTTGGCAGTCAGGCATCAGATGAAGGGCAGACACTTCCCAGACTGAAATAAACACAAAATACATTTAGCGTGTTGTTTCCTCAACCTTCATGTAACATATTAAACCAGATAACTTCTCTCTTAAATCGAAAAAAAATAATTTCAAACAACTTCTTGAGTGTAACTCAACACACCAGATTTCCACAGTGCTCTTGCACGGTGAGTTCTATTATTTGGTCCATTAGTATCATAAAGGTTTTACTTCAGTAATTCTCACTTACTATAGAGCAACGTTGCTGTGTGGTGTAAAACCTGATAGTTACTGCGAGTATCCCTAACAGAGATAACATTTACACAGAATAATACAGACATCTGATCCCGCATGTTTCTGGAGATAAAAACCTTCATTCTTTTGACAACAATTCGTAAGGGAAAGGCTTCGATGGGGGTAAAACGGAAATTTTTAATACAAGATCGCCCTCTGTTGTTTAGGAGAGAGGAGAACGAGTGAGGATGGAAGAGCCTGGCTTGGGCATCTCGTTCCAACTCCTGCCATGGCAGGGACACCTTCCACCACCCCAGGGTGCTCCAAGCCCTGCCCAGCCTGGCCTTGGGCACTTCCAGGGATCTGCTCCACCTATTACTTTTTACCCTCCATAAACAACAACCTGGAAAAGTAAAATGATTCCGTGTGGGATGTTGTGGTGATTTGCTTGACTGGGGGAGGGCTCCCAAAGAGACCACATGAATTAATCAGGCTCACTAAAACTTCCAGAAAGTGAGATATGAAATGAGAAGTGGCAAGTCCTTGGCATCACAGATGATTGTATGGAGTTATCAGTTATCGATGTTCTTCAAATTATTTTGATGATTTGGATATTTCAGACCTGATTTTATATCTCATTGCAAGGAAAAAAATCACATCTATAGAGCTTGTTTATTCAAGGTTTATGTTTACCTAAGAGGATGTACCTTCAATCTCCTCCATTCCTTGTTCCACACCACTCCCCTGGCTCTCTCTGCCACACACTCACGTTCATGCCAAGCTTTTACCTGCTGTAAATCAATTATTTATTTTGTCCATGAAACCTGAGTGCTGAATGGCAGATAGGAGATGTCACATGTGTGCAGCACTCTGCTGTCCCCAGAGATGAGAGCTCCTCCCGTGACCCAGGGACTGCAAAACCAGGTCAGGCTTGGCTGTGCTTGTCTGGAATTTCAACATTTTACTGGTGTGAAAAGCTATGAGCTTGGGATATAAAGTTATGACCTTGATATAAAGTTATGAGCTTGGGATATAAAGTTATGAGCTTGGGCTATAAAGCTCTTCCCTGTGGTTGGTGCAGGAGACACAAGAGCCAGGTGTACCCAGGGGAACATCTGCCTGCAGGTCCTGGCCCTGCCAATTATCTAAAAGCCCAATTGAAATTCTGATTAAATCATACCTTTCACCAACTAAATCTTCCAAATTCCAAATTTCAATCTTTATCTTTTATCCACTTCACAGGCCCCCAGTTTATGAACTGATAAAGACTTCCAGAATGTAAAGCCTTGTTGATGCTCCCCTTTTAATATGTCAAAAGGACACTTTTTGGCAGAAAACTAATCTTTCCTACAAAATACACAACAAACTATTTGATGTGCTGGGCAACAGCTCAGTTTAAGAAATAAGCAGACCACCCTTAGGCAATCAGCCAATAAACACAATATTTGTCATTTAATTCTGGAAGATGCCAAGGGTAATAACGAAACTCACAGGACTTCCCCAAGTCTGGATTTGGAGTTCTTTTTCCCAATGTTTTTCCTAGATCTAGTTCAAATTTCACACTTACTATCCCTATTTATTTCTGCCACAGCCATTATCACCATTTTCTGTGCAATACCATTTTGATTTCCCCTTCATGAAGGCACCCAAACTCCTGAGAATTCTTTTGATCTTTTCAAAGAATTACCAGGAGCATTACCATTGTTGCTCTTTTCGTAATTATTTATCAGCCTCACACTGCTGCTTCCATAAAGCTGCAATCCCCAGACTTCAAGTCTGCAATAACTTTCTCCTCAATAGGAAAAAATAAAGAGGGGGGGAAATACAGCAAATTTCACATTTTGATCAGAGTGTTGCACATGATATCTAATGTTTTTAGCTTGTTTCACAGCTAAAAACAAAAGCAAACAACATACCTGCTCCTTTGTGCCTTTCCTGAGTTATTAAAATCATGTTTGCAGCTACAGTGACTGGCTGTCCTCACGTTGCCTCAATCCTTAGGATGTATTTCTTCCCATAATTCATCATAGCCTGCAACATCTGGATTGTTTTAATTCCCCATTATGCTCAGTAATGTAATTTTTGTACCTCTGCTATCATATTCTGAGTTTTAATAAACTTCTCCTTGATCCTCTCATCATCTGTTCCTTCATTCCCTGAACCCATCCTAAATCCTACCATTTCAAGCAATTTGCTCCTACAATCCTTCTCAGGCAGGTTTCAATAAAACTTCCAGCTGTGGAACCAAAGTTACTAATGCAGGACTAAAATTTAAAATCTCCACACCTGGAGATCTTGCACTGGTTCTACTGGGAATCTCACCAAGCTCAAACCACTTGTGCCCATCCATTCCTTTGACTTGGAACATCTTTGGAAGCCTCCTTGGCATTACACTCCAAATTGATGCCAAAACTCACTGTTTGTGCCTGGATCCTTTAGAGTGTAGCTCTATGTGTGTCCAAACACAGGCTGTAGAAATGCCTTAAAACAATTTTAATAAATAAAATCCCACAGTGGTAATTTATGCATTTCTTCTTTTTGATTAATGGCCAGAATTACTCACAGAATAAATCAGAAATTCTGCAAAAAAAGATCTACTAGAATTCTGTAAGCACAGGCAACAGCCCAGCTCTTAATAAGAGGGAGCCAAAAGTATTTTTCCTCCCAGGAGTGATCCTTCATGCTAGTTGTGTTCAGATAAAAACTCCATGCAAGAATCTCAAAAAACTATTTTTACAGCACAATTGAAAGGACTACCATGACAAGAATATTTGACTTCAAGTTCATGGCTTAAAAGAGCGGAAATGGCTCATTTTTTACCATTGGAAAGGTCTATGGTCTCTGCACATGGAACTGACCACCCAAAACCCCCACAAGGCACCCGCTCAAGACCATCCCTGCTCTTGCATATTCTGTGAGTGAAGGCTCACATCCATCTCCATGTTTCATCATGGAATGTTTTGGGTTGAAAGGGAATTTAAAGCCCATCCAGTTCCACCCTCTGCCATCAGCGGGCACCTTCCACTAGACCAGGCTGCTCCAAGCCGATCTTACAACATTGCCAGGCATGGGGCAGACAGATTCTCTGGGGAACCGGTGTCAAGGCCTCAGCACCCTCACAAGAAGTTTTCCTGCTAATATCCCCTTTAACCCTGCCATATATCGTTGTGAATTCATTCCCCCTTGCCCTATCACTGTCAAGAATCACAGGGACTACCAGGAATAGGATAATTAGGAACACACCCCCAAGAGGGATTTAAAATGGAATTAGGGGCGGGGGATCCGCCACGCCCCTCCCTCGAGCCCTCACCGAGTCCTCACGGAGCCCCGCCCCCGGCGCTCGAGACCGCCCCTCCCGCCTCTCCGCTTCACCCAATCAGCGCAGAGATCACCGCACTATTTGCATATTAAACCCCGCCCTCCTTGCTGTTCACCAATCAGCCTGCTCCTCTCATGAACCCGGGGGAACGCCCTGCTGGACTTTCCACGCACCCGCTGAGCCGCAGCTTCTCATTGGGCAATGGGCCGGTGGGCGGGGCCAGTTTGAACGGGCGGCGGCGGGGAGCGGCGCCATGGTGAAACCGCTGAGGGATCGGGACCGGGATCGGGATCGGGATCCGGATCCCGATCCCGGTACCGCCGAGGGTCCCGGCCCCACGATGAGCCCCCCGCTCTCCCCGCAGCCCGCTGCGGCGCCAGCCGACGGCTTCGCCTCCTCAGACGATGAGGCCGCCGAGGAGGACCCGAGCCCGCTCCACATCTCCTGGTGAGGCGGCACCCGCGGGGTCCTTTCTCTGGGGAAATTGTATTAAATCTCTATCCTGAGAAACAGGAGGGTTTCCTGAGAAACAAGAGGGGTTTCTCTCCGCAAGGAAAACCCGAGCCGGGCTCCGTGACCTTCCAGGCTGGAGGGGCCCTCCCTGGGGAAGTGTCAGCGGATGGGGTTGGGGTTGGGGTTGGAAGGGGCCGCTGGGGCTGGTCCAGCCGCCCTGCCCAGGGGCTCACCCACAGCAGAGCCAAGGATCACACCCAGGTGGGTCTGAAATGTTTCCATTTAAAACTCCACAACTTCCCTGGCAGCCTGTTCCAGGCCTCCATTCCCTTTACTGACAGGGCAGAGATGCCCTGGCACAGGTTATCCAGAGAAGCTGTGGCTGCCCCATCACTGGAAGTGTTCCAGGCCAGCTTGGACAGGGCTTGGAGCAACCCGGGATGGTGGAAATTGTCCCTGCCCGTGGCAGCAGATTGGAACAAGATGATCCTTAAGGTCCCCTCTAACCCAAAACTTTTGTCACCCTCAAAGTAACATTTTTCCTCATCCTCACTTCCCATGTTTCATTTTGTTCCTGTCCTCATTGTCCCACCAGACACTGGTGAAAAGTTCTGGCCCCACCCTCTTGACACCGCCTCTAAACTTATTTATACATTTAAATAATTGAAACCTTCCCTTCTGATTTTTATTTATTTTACTTTTTATTTTCTGATAGGCTGTCTTTGTCTCCTCTCTACTCTTCAGAGTTCCTGGGATTATGTTCCCTTCCAGGTAAGAAGCATTCACTGAAATTTGCAGGCATGTTTGAGAGATGAAGAGGGGTAATACCTTGTACCCCAAATTTGTGTTGTGGGTGACTCCTTTTGTAATCTACCCCTGGAATAGGTTTGGAAAAGCCAAAGCTAATCTAGAGAATATCTTAATGCAAGACCATGTTTTTTAAGTCAAAAAAGTAAACATATAAATTTTGTCTGCATTTTTAATTACCAGAACTGCTGCCATGGTGAATCTCCACTCAACTCTTAAGTGATCTTTATTCAGCCCTTTTATTTGTTGGATGATTTTTTGTGTTTTGTGGGGGGATTTTATGCTGTATCCTGATTTAAAATATCCAAAACTTTTCATCTGGAAAACACAAAGCACCTTAAAACCTTGGGCAGATTTCTTTGGTTAATCCTATTGAATTACAGTATTAAGCAGATAATGGTGTTTAAACTGCCTTCTGCACCAGGGATCTACCTGCAAAAACAAGAACTGTGTTTTATTCAGGCTGTGGCTTCGTTCCTTGCTTTGATTTTGGGGGGAGGCTGCCTGTGCTCTGTTCTGCTGCAGCAGCCATCCCATAAATGTCACTTACCTGCAGTGGTAATTGTTGTTCATAACTTGTTTCAGGTTGCAGGTTCAAGGATATCAGAAGAAATCTTCAGAAAGATATAGGTGAGTGGTTTTTGTGCCAAGGGCAATTCCATGAATATTCCATGACTATGGATTAAAGAGTCAGGATATTTCCAGGCAGGAGCTGCACAGTACCCATGAGGCAACTTCAGAGCAGCTGGGATCAAGATGAATTACAAACCTGTAGTCTTCCTTTTTCCCAGAGAAAAGTGAAATTGGGATAGAAAGGATGGAATTATGTAAAGATTTGTGCTGAGTATTCAGCTGTGAGCACTAAAGAGCAGAGACCAATAATGAATCCTCTCAGTGTTTGGGTAAGTCAAGCTTAGGAAGGAGCTCCTGGTTGTGAGGGTGGGCAGGGCCTGGCACAGAGCAGCTGTGGCTGCCCCTGGATCCCTGAGTGCCCAAGGCCAGATTGGACAGGGCTTGGAGCAGCCTGGGACAGTGGAAGGTGTCCCTGCCATGGCAGGGGTGGAATGAGATGGGCTTTGAGGTCCTTTCCAACCCAAACCATCCTGGGATTCTGTGACTTTAACTGGAGATGGGACAGAAGAATCCTTAGGTGGATAACAGGCTGTCCTGAGTGCTGCTGTGTTCTCCAGTGAGATTCTCTCAGGATTCCCTCTGAAATGAGAAATTCCTCTCCTGGATTACCTGAAGGGAAAAGTGGGGGAGGCTCAGTGGAAGAAAAAGTGCTCCAACCAAAATTGCTCACTCCTGCTGTCTTAGCCCCAAAGATGAAACAAGGGATCAGGACCAAGGTCCTTATCTGCTTATCCTTAAGCTTGATTGGCTTTTGTTTATCTGCAAGTGTCTTAATCCATTGGCAGGAGAACTAAAGAGCTGTGGGATCCAGGATGTTTTTGTCCTTTGTACCAGAGGAGAGCTCTCAAAATACCGAGTCCCAAACCTGATTGACACCTACCAGCAGCACGGGATGTGTGTGCACCACCACCCCATTCCCGATGGGAATGCTCCCGACATTGCCACCTGCTGCAAGATCCTGGAAGAGCTCAGAGCCTGCCTGGAAAATAAGCAGAAAACAATGATACAGTAGGTTCTGCCTCCCCAACACCCCACATTCCTGTGAAGGATGCCAGCTTCTCTCCAGGTGTATGAGCAGGGGAAATAGGATGGTGTGAAAAGGCACTTGCACTCTTTAGGGTTAGTTCATGCTGTGAAGTCTGCTTGTTCCTCCTCTCTCCTATTTGGAGGGAATTCTTCCTTTCAGAAGATCAGAATGTCCCATTTCAAGATTAGAATGTCCCATTTCCCCTTGCTCTGTCCAGCAAGAGTTTTAAAGTGTGTTTTGAGTGGCACCACAGGGCTCCTTGCCCCCAGCCTACCTGGATATCAGGGGTACAGAATGAGTTGGGAGCTGAAACACTCCCTTGTCACAGGCTGTGACTGCCCATCCCTGGAAGTGTTCCAGGCCAGGGATGGGGTTTGGAACAACCTGATCCAGTGCAAGGTGTCCCTGCCCATGGCAGGGGGTGGAATGAAGTGACTCTAAGGTCCCTTCCAACCCAAACCACTCTGTGAGTCTATAACATTTCTCTGGACTATTTATCAGGGACTCAGTGGCTTCCAGCAGTGCAAAATTCACTCCTGATTTCCATGAATGGGTTTAAAGGAGTTTATTTAGCTGAGCTCAGAAGAGAGGAGAAGAGCTTTCCAAATTCCATGTTCCCTGAATGATCCCACTGACAGCTTCTTGTACAGACATCCACTGAGTCCTTGGCCTTCCTGCTGTTCTCACAACTGTCCTCAAACCCTTAATCTTGAGTAGGATTTAAAGAAATTTGAAATTGTCCATCCTCCTACTGTTTCCTGTCCTCCTGTGCCTTTGGACTATTAGCAGGAATGAAGGGGAACTTTAAATTTGAAGTTCCATGGAAAGACACAGGAGGTCTGGAGAATAAATAGGATATATCCCTGTAGGTATAAAAATAGAATATAGAAAATATGTTGAAATTCTTGTTCTGACTTTTTTTGTACCACTGCTCCTCTTGACTGTATTAAGGCAAGAACTGTGTACATTATTTATGTGCTGGGGGTCCCTGGGTGCTGCAGTTTGTTACAGCTCATTCCAACCAGATGTTTTCTTTTCTCCCAGCTGTTATGGTGGCCTTGGACGCTCATGTCTTGGTAAGTATTTGTCTCCATCCCACAAACCCACAGAGCCAAATTCTGCTGGGAGTTCCTCTGTGGATGCAATCCAAGCTACCACTACCAGGAGCAGCCTGGTGAATAGAAAGGACATGAAGCAATTTCTCTGCATCTGATTGATCCCAGTGTTGCCCCTTAAAGCCTTCAGGAGTGTTAGTTACTGTGTGTTCCCAGAAGGAAGGGGTGGGGACATGGCCAGAAGACACAAAGGGGAATTAACTGGGTGTACTGGCACTCATTCCTGAAAAGCCTAGGAATGCATCCAGATGCTGCTGGGAAGGCAGTGGGAGGGTTTTCACCTATTTCTAAAGCCCATAGGCTTAGGCAGGAGCAGGAGGGAGATGGGCCAGTGCCCAGAGATAGGATTCTGCAAGAGATCCAAGAGCCCTGGGACCTGGATAGGTTTGCCAGGGTTTTCATGGGACAAACCTGTGGCTGTGTGCAGTCAGAGGTGCTCAGCAGCACTCAGGTGTCAACACTTTCCCTTGCAGTGGCTGCCTGTCTCCTGCTGCAGCTTTCAGACACCCTGGCACCTCAGCAGGTGATAGAGAGCCTCAGGAACCTGAGAGGATCAGGGGCCATACAGACCATCAAGGTAATGGGGCTGCAGCAGGTAACACACGGGTCCAAACACCAGTGAGAGCTCAGGCAGGCCCCTCCTTCACCTCCCAGAGATATCTCTGCCTTAACAGCTGCTCTCTGGGGTTTGAGCTGTTTCCTGCTTCCAAGAAACAGCTTCTCCCAATAGGAAAAGGCCTCAAGTTGTGCCAGAAAAGGTTTAAGTTGGATAATAGGAAAAATTTCTTCACTGAAAGGTTGTCCAGCCCTGGCACAGCTGCCCATGGCAGGGGTGGCATCCCCATCCCTGGAGGGATTTAAAAGCCATGTGGGGATGTGGGGTAGTGGTGGCGTTAAGAGTGCTGGGGGAATGGTTGGACTCAAAGACCTTAGAGAGATTTTTCCAACCTAAATGATTCCATGATTCCAAATAATGCAGCTTTGAATTCTGACAACTCTCACCTTTGAGGACCATGTTTTGCATTGCCTTGGGGTAGTGCATCACCTGTGGCCATGATGGGGAACCACAGGATCCAAGTCAAGTCCATGGAATCTGTGTCTGACAGTGAAAAGTCCCAGAGGATGTGGAGTAAGCACACGAAGAACAAATGGACCAGAGGGTGCAGTTTTCATCCAGGGGTATCAAAGAGCTTTTTAGCACAGGTGTGCCTGTTGCTGAAGCACAGAGCACTCAGTGCAGCCTGGTTGTGCATTTGCAGCAGTACAATTTCCTCCATGACTTCCGGGAGCAGCTGGCTGCACACCTGGCCACAAAGGAGCCGCTGCTCAGGGCGGCGTCACGGTAGCTGATCCTGCCATGGGTGCCTGTGTGGAAAACTCCTGGACAAGACACTTCTCACCTTTCCTCAGTGCTACTGCCTGTGTGACACAGCTGCTGCCTTCTAATGTGTAAAGTATTGGGATGGGGAGGAAATCCTAGAGAACATGTGGCATCTTCCCCTCTTTGGTGATTTTAATACTCACTGCCTGAAAAATACATGTACAAGTGTGTTTGTGTCCATTGCTCTTCTGCTGGGAGGATGGAGCTGGATAGAAATTCTGTCTCTGGAGCTGTTTAAAACACCCTCACACCATCAGCTCTGCTGTAAAGCAAAGTCAAGCTGGAGCTCTCACCCTTCTGAGCTCGTAACAACTCGTTCTAAAATGTCACAGGTTCTGCTCGATGTGTTGAGGGCTATTTGGGAAGGAGTCTCCTCCTTCCAAGAGCGGGAGGTGTTGCAGCACAAATCTGTGACAAAGCCAGCAGGGGGTTGTAGGTGACTGTGGCAGGGAGACTCTGCTGCAGCTGCGTGGGTGAGCTGGCACAGCCCTTCTGCCTGCTGCCAGCACTGGGAGTAAACAAACAATCCTGGGGGCTGGCAGGAACTCACAGGAACAGCCCTCTAGCAGTCTCTCCTGTTTCACCATATCCATTCATAAAAGCACAATGAAACAGCTCCTGGCTTTTGCTAAAGTTCAGGACCATCTCAAGTTAAAAGTTAGGATGAGATTCCACACAGCACCAGGGGGCTGGAGTTGAATAAGTCCCTGTTTTGTGAACTTAAGGATTTATCTTTTTACATTTGGACTTTGAGCACAAAGGTGATTTCTGCAGATTAATTAGTGTTTACTGCCATTCCCTTCCCCACTCTTATGGCAAACAGGAACTTTTCCAGTTTCCACAGCATAGAATAATTTACAGCAAATACCCTGCCCCAAATGTGCTTCAGTACTTAATCCTTGCATCTAATGGTTTTCAGATATTAAATATTTATCACATGACTCAGCAGGAAACTTGCTAAAGGTGGGAGAAATGTTCTTTATCTTCTCCATAACATTCTGCCTCCTAGAATTCCAAAACCAATGATCAGGTCCGCATTTTGAATGCCAAAGGCCTGGTACTCCAGCAAGGCATCACACAAGGGCTACTCCAACACTCCTGGGACACAAAGCTGGTGTTGTTGGACATGGATGGTGTTATCCACAGCCCTGGGCAGCTGGGAACACTCCTCTGCACCCCACACACCCAGTTCAAGCTGCTCAGGACAGTGCAAACAGTTGGGTAAATACTGCTGGGCCCTTGGAGCAGCTGTCACTTGGGCTCAGTCAGGCCTGCATTGTTTATTCCAGTGTGGAATTTGGCTCAAACCAACCCAAATGCCAAGGGAACAAGAGATTTGCTTAGAAGGTTGAGGAGAGCCAGGGGCTTTAAGTAGCCAGTCTTGTTTCCATAATGGATTAATAAATATACAAATACAAGATTTAATGAGCTTTGCTTCCACAGGCTGAAGTCACCTCTTACATCTTTGGAAGAGTCAAGCAGCAGAGAAATGAAAATGATCTAATAGGAACAATATTTACAAGTTTCCAAAAAAGCCTTTCAAAAATTCTTCCATGAAAAACTAAAAATTATGGTTGCACAAGGAAAAAAATAATCATGGAATGCTGAAGCTTGAGCAGTAGGGGCATAGGAAATGCTCAATAAATGCAGGGAAATGTGAGAATAATTTCATGTATAAAGCAATAAACTGTCAGGACTGTTCTTACTCAGGAAAGAGAATCTGAAGTTATCACAGCCTGAATACATTTAAAAAAAACCTAGAAACTCCCACTCTCCATTCCCTAGGAACCCAAACTTTGTGTGATAATAGCCTAGAAAAGGGGAAGGCTGTGGAGGAGAAAGGACAGTCCCAAAGCTGTGGAGGGACTTCCAACCAGAGAGCAAACAGACTTAGCCCCTGTGACAGGTGACTTGAGTAAAGTCTGTTCATTCACACCCAAATAAGGGGGAAAAGGGGACATTTTCACCACATCCTAAAAAATAAGAGTGTAGGGTCACTAAGTGAAGTTGGCAGAACTGTTAAATGTATGGTTTTCACACAGAAATTCTATTGCAGACCTCACTGTCAGCACTGCCCAGAGCAGCTGTGGCTGCTCCATCCCTGGAATTGTCCAAGGCCAGGCTGGACAGGGCTGGGGGCAGCCTGGGACAGAGGAAGGTGTCCCTGCCATGTCCCTCATGGAATGAGATGGGATTTAATGTAATGTCCCTTCCAACACAAACTGCTCTGGGATTCTGTGATCTTCCAGACCAGGCTACAAAAGTGCTCTAAAAGCAGCTGCACTGATGGCACAAAAGCCATTCAGAGCTTTGTAAAATGCCAAAGCCCACTCAGGACATCTGGAACACACAAATTTGCAAATTTCTCACTCTTCAGGCAGATACTCAACACCTGCCCTGTTTCAGATTCCTTTCCTCAGCCACTGGCACTGCCCAGCACACCAGTGTTGGAATATCTGGATTTCTGGTGGAACCCAGTGCAGCCATTCATTCATTTTTACTGCCCCTAATACCCAAGAGACCCAAAGTGAACAAATACACAGTTTATGCAAAAAAAAAAGTTTTACTAGAATGGGGAAACTCTGCATTGTTCTCCAGCACAGATAAATGGAAAAGATTCCTAATTAATACTTGTAAATTAGGCAGCTGTTCACAGTCACAATTTACAATGCAATATTTATCTGAAACATCTTCCTCTGCCTCATCTGCTATTTAACTTCAAGAAAAAAAGCAGGAAATCAGAGCTCCCCTTTTCCAGAGGAAATTCAATTCTGTGTTCTATTTTTAAAGGGAATGCAATAATCCACTGTAAAACAACTGATGAACACAGTGAGGATCTGTTGAATTTATAAACAAAACAAAAGGCACCACATAAAAAGAAATGTTGCTGAATTTTGAGATTTGTTTTTTATTATCATTTATTGCACTAAGGAACAGCGGGGCAGTTTCACAATCTCACCTTCTGCTTTGAAAAAGTCTGTAGTATTTACTACTCCTAAACCCAAGAGTGTTTTCATCATTGGACCTGATAAACATTGGAGGTTTGTCCATTTGTAAATCAGCACAGACATTAAAAAAAACATTTAAATTCATTCCTTCAGGGACAATTCAGCTTCTCCTACCACAATGGCACAGGCTCGAGATTAAAGCAGGGTTAATGTCTGGAGAAGATACAGAAGGCTCTGGACCTATGGATGCACATACAGGGCAAGATTAACCAGATAATAAAAAAAAAAAATAAACCAGAATAGAACTATTTTTGCTTTTGTGTCCATGAATTAATATCCTAAGACCAACATCACCTATGGGCAAAACACAGAGCATTCCAGTTGTTGCCAAGCACTTGGAGCCAGGGCTGGTTTAGAGTCAAGAGTGGGATGCACAAGTCCAAGTGAGCCCCTACAAAGCCCATCCTACAGCAAACCCCTAGAGCACTAAGGCTAGTAGTAACCAACACCTACTCAAAGGTTATGGCTGTTCCTTATGGAGTGCAAAGTCAAAACTTTTCAAACCCCAGGCATCTTTGTATTAATTTACACATAATTCATCAATTTCAGCGTCCCAGTAAAATATAAGAAAACAGTCTTTCCACAAGTATAAAATGTGGAAATATTTTAAAAATAGGGGAGTCATTGTTTTCTAACTCAATTGTGAACGTCAGGTTCCGGATTTAATCTTGGTCAGAGGTTCTTGTTGTAAAGAATCCATGTTTTTTGTGGCTTTTGCATGCACTTAACTGGAACAAAGCTTGCTGAATGTCTTCTTAAGAGCTCACCAGAACATAAATCATGCTGCAGAAGAAAAAAAAAATATTAAGATGCATCATTTTGATTAGTGTTACACATTTAATTCTAACAGGGTCTATTATAAGGAACAAATCCATGTGAGATACGTGGATTGTGACTGAAGATCTGACAAAATGACTCTTCTACTTTTCACTTCAACAAAATCACATTTACATCAAATACTTTCCTCTGAAAAAAAAGTTTCAGCTTCTTAATTAAATACCCTGGGATTTACTGTATTATGGTTAACAGAAGAAAAGTTTGGAGCTTTTTAGTCTACAGTTATGGAACAGAGATTCAAAATATTAATTCTGACCAAATTGGATTGTGTTTTAGAGCAGAATCAGGGGTGAATGTGGATTCTTTAGCAGGAAAGCTGGCACTGTAGATGACCACACAGATTCCCAGCATGTTTTGAGTTGGAAGGACTTTATAGATCCTCTCACTCCAACCCCTGCAATGGGCTGGGAGACCTTTGGCTATCACAGGGTGCTCCAAGTCCCCTCCAACCCTGCCTGGAGCACTTCCAGGGATCCAGGGGCAGCCACAGCTTCTCTGGGCACCCTGTGCCAGGGCCTCACCACCCTGACAGCCAGGAATTCCTTCCCAATATCCCATCTATTCCTGCCCTCTGGCACTGGGAGCCATTCCCACATGTCCTATCACCACACACCCTGTTCCAAAGTCCCTGTGCAGCTCTCACAGGCTCCCTTCCAGCACGAGAAGGATCGTATTCCTATGGACAGTATTTCTCTCTGCACTGAGCCAAAGCTTCAGACTGAAGAAGAAAACTTACCCATATAGGTAGTAAAAAAAAGATAGAAGGTAGAATGCTAATTTGCACCATCCTTCTTTCTGGCAATAGGCTAAAATATCTGCATTCATGATGGTCGTGGGATCGTAGAGCCCCGGGCCGCTCATCACGGGTCTGCTCATGTACCTGCAACGAGGCACAGGCAGGTGTGGGGTGACAGCCACAGGGAACTGGGTCCTGCCCCCACCCACCAGGGAATGCCACAGCTGAGACACCAGTAACACCCTGTACAGAGAAGCAATTCAATTCTCATGTCGTAAGGAATGGCAGAGGAAATTGGAATTGCTATTTCAACTGGCATTCCACACTGGGAATTGTCTCAGTGCACCTTTAACACACACACACAACTCAGTTCCCACACAGCACAAGAGAATAAAACCCACCCAAGAAAGCCAGGTGATGGCTCTCATTGTACAGCCATGACCTGAACTTCCCCAGAAAGCATCTGGGTTTTCCCAAGACACAGAACACTGGACAGAAGACAGGAGAATGAGTAACAATTCACTGAGCATAACACACTCGCCAAAATTACCTCCAAATATGATAAGCCAACAAGGGCATATTGAGACCCAGTGTGAGCCACTCTGCTGCACAGAGAAACATGACACAGAAGAATGCATGGATGAGGTACTCTGGAAGTACAAGCTGGAAAAGAAAAAGGTGAGTTAGAAGTTTTGGTTGCACAGAGCAAAACATGGCATTTCAGCTACTTTGGAGGCACACAATTGCTTAAAAATATTCTTTAAAACCAACACTAACAAGAACAAGACTGTGGAACGTGAAAGCAGCAGCCAGCACTATGTGCCTTGCTGTTTTCACATGCTATTCATGAACCAAGGAGAAAAATTTATCAGGTTTAATGGTCAGATCAATATTTTTTTATTGCTTCTATCAAATTAACAGATTCCACGCTTTATGGGTGACACTCAGAAGAGGTCACTGAGATATTTCTGCTCATGCAACAGAGAAATATCAGTAGGAAACATGCTCTCCAGAATGGTTTATAGGCAAAAAGATAAGTTTGTGTTTTCCTTGTTTTACAGATCCAGAACTTTCCAAAGTTGAATTATTTCCAAAATGTGACACCCCAGGCAGAGCTTTACCCAACCAGGTCTGCACAGAGGAGCTGCTCTGCACAGCCAGTTCTCCCTCACAGTTCCCACTGTGCATGCTTTACAGCATCATGCTTCCAGCAGAAGCCCACAGAGCTCAGAACCAGGTACCATGGAGCCACAGGAAGCACGGAATGCTGCAGAGATTAGTGTTGTTAATAGGAACAACATGGAGGGGTACAGAGAGTAAACACATGCAGAGAGCTGCGGAACCTCACACCCAACACAGGAGTTCATTTTGTACAAGTCACCTCAAGGTGTTGCTATTCACTGCTTTATTACCAGGTTCAGAAGGAATCATACAAATCAAACTGGTTTGGGTTGGGACATCAAAGTCCATCCAGTTCTGCACTTTCCACTGTCCCAGGCTGCTCCAAGCCCTGTCCAACCTGGCCTTGGGCACTGCCAGGGATCCAGGGGCAGCCACAGCTGCTCTGGGCACCCTGTGCCAGGGCCTCAGCACTCTCATTATGAAGAATTCCTTCCCAAATTCCATCCATCCCTGCCCTCTGGCACTGGGAGCCATTCCCTGTGTCCTGTCCCTCCATCCCTTGTCCCCAGTCCCTCTCCAGCTCTCCTGGAGCCCCTTCAGGCCCTGCCAGGGGCTCTGAGCTCTCCCTGGAGCCTTCTCCTCTCCAGGTGAGCACCCCCAGCTCTCCCAGCCTGGCTCCAGCCCTTGCAGCAGCTCTGTAAAGCTTTTGCCTTCTCTACTCAGCCCTGTAAGACTCCTCATGGAAAACACCCCATTTTCACCCAAAGGTTTCAATTGTCTGTGTGTGTGTGCCTGTACACACACAACACACTCTGCCCTCTTTTTGTGCAGTGTGATTAACATTGCATGGGATGATAACATCAAAGTTTCAGTGGTTTCCAATTTTTTTCTTCTTTTAAAACCCCAGAATATCTTCCTAGAAACCTAAAAGCTACCAACAAACACACTCACCACCTACTTTGCTGACATTCTAGTTCTCTAAATGAAGACTATCAAAGTAAACTTGCATCAACACCACCAAAATTCAGCTGTTGGACACAAAATGTTTCAAGTAAATATTTTCATCCAGATCCTTCTTTGCATACTTACCATTTACACATGGAATTATTTATAGCAGAATAACCACCCTGTCCAACACACGATGCATTTGGCAGCCTGCTCAGACAGATTCACCAGGCCTGAAAAATCTGTATTTATTTACCTACATATCTCAAAATATGTTTTTCTTTTCTCTTGTTTGTTATACCCTGCTCCCACACCAGGATCTCTGCCTCTTTCTTATCTCTCCCACTTGATCCTCCCTGCCTGTCCTAAAGAAAAATGAATTACATCAGATCCTGCCATATTTATCACAGAAGTGAGGGAGGATGGATCTGGTTGCTGAGAAAAGACACGACTCTAACAGGAGCAGGGAAGAGAAGGAACCAGCAGTGCACTCAGGAGTTACTATTTCAGGCTAATCTCTCCACTGAGGTGCATCAATTCCTACCCAGACCTTTGGTTCTTTCTACAGGAAAACAACACCCAGCATCATGTACCCCTGAACTTCACTTTTGGGGACTAGCCTGCTGCCACAGGAACAGCAAATATGAGATTATTTCAGACTGTCAGTAGCAAAGCTGCCATGTAAAGGACACTCCATGCACGTGGGGCAGCAGAAGGTTAATGTCCAGTTAAACATGCACATTTTTACACTACAAAGGTTGCGGTAAGGTCAAAATGCATCGATGTAATGAGAGTTGGCCTCTCCCACACTGCAGCAGAGATGACTGGAACAGACCAAGCAAGGGAAACTGTTAGATGCACAGCTCTCCTACAGCAAACCTCCTCTCCTCCTCCCCTCCTCACTGAAATATTCACTTTCATTCGTGTGCTGTACATAGAACACACTCTCTGCCCCCTCCTCCACCCCCAATTACAGCAAATTTATTTTTTGGTGTGTATTTTACTTAAAACACACTAAAGCTACAGGTCAGGCCACGCTGCTGTGCTGCCCCTGCATCCTCCCTCAGCCTGGGCACACACAAAGGAAAAGCCATAAAATGCTGCAGGATCAAGCTCTGTGCTCTTTAAGAAGCCTCCCTGATGCTGCTGGCCTGTCAGAGATGCAGGCAGTTTGCCTCAAATTCCTTTCCTAAGCCAAGGAGTGTCCGAGTTGCATCCCAGAGAGGACACTGGGACACAGCCCTGATCCTGGAACACAGAACAGAGAAGTGAGGAGAGCACCTATCACCTCCCACTCACCCAAATCCTCAAAAAAAGATCAGAACTGACTTGGTCAATGCTTAAAAAAACCCCAAGTATTCTCCTCTAATCTGAATTCAGTAAATCTCACTTGAAAAACACAATTTATTTCTGCCTGAAGTTATTTTCTGACACCTAACAGGCATGTAACAGTTTTCCCCAAGTTGCTGGGTAAGCAAGCAGAATTGGTTTGGCACAAAATATGGAAATCCATGAGGTTGTTAGAAACCCCAACGAACAAATAACGAGCAGATGAACAGGCAGACTAAACAAAACAGCTAAAAAGTATTACAGATGTTCCTAACAAAATGAAAGGGAAGTTCAAAAACATGAAACTGAAAAGCAGTACACACCTTTAATGCAATTTTGACTCTTTTAATCTTTTTGACCTTTTCAACTGTCTTTGTGCCGAAAATGTGGAAAGCAGATTGAAAGAATGTTAGTATGACAGCTGACAAGATCACCATCAGATTAATAACAGTCAGAATATTCAACTTGAAACTAAAGAATCACACAAAGAATTTCCCTACAACTTCTAACAACAGCGAGGGCTTCTCAACCCAGATGCAATTCTATTGCCCAGGCTGATTGCATCAAGATAACACCAAAAATAAGCATTTTACACATATTTACTTAGCAAAACAAAATGTCTGGTGTGCTACTTACAGGATTGAGTGTATTACATTGGTCTATGGGGTTCTTGTAATCAGTCTTCAGTTCATCAAATGCTATAATCTAGAAGAAAAAAAAGAAAGAGTTTTGATTCCCCCGGAGCAATTTTGTATTTTATCCATTAAAAGTAGGATTTTGGCACAGAGCTGCTACCTTTGTTCTCAGTAACATTTCACCTAAGTTCTGCCTACATCAACTCACAGGTAAGACAGATGTGGAACAGGTTTTACAAATAGGAAAGCAGTTGTTTCATCAGATATTCAAAAGCATCTGACTAACCCCCAACTTTTTATCTTCCCACCTGCAATGAATTTCCTACGCCCCCTTATCAGTTTTCAGCCCCACTTGCTGTGCAGACCCCAGCCTCACCCAGGACTCTCTTGGCGACCAACAGGAATCTGGCATGGGATTCCTTAATCCACAAAAAGAGCAAGTTTAAAAGCCAGCAGATATTTTTCCTCATTATCATATTAAATGCTGAGCCCACATACACCCCAGAATCACAGAACTGTTAGGACTGGAAGGGACCTCTGGAGACCATCCAGTCCAACTTCCCTGCCAAAGCAGGATCACATACAGAAGGTTATACCTCCAAAAGATGTATCCATTAAAAAAAAAAGAAAAGAAAAAAAAAAGTACACCAGTCTTTTTCTTGACATAAAAATAAAGACAAAGATGCAGCATGAAGTACAAAAGGCAGTTTTACACCTTAAATATCCTACTAAGCATCACATCCTTCCTCAGAGCAGCTCATCTCAGGCAGGGTCCTGTTGGCTGCTCTCCCAGTGACTGCCTCGAGGAGCAAATCAGAGAATCATGGAATGGTTTCGGCTGGAAAGGACCTGAAAGATCCAATTCCAAACCCTGCTATGGCAGGGACACCTTCCACCATTCCAAGCTGCTCCCAGCCCCATCCAGCCTGGCCTTGGACACTTCCAGGGATCCAGGGGCAGCCACAGCTTCTCTGGGCACCCTGTGCCAGGGTTTCACCACCCTCACAGAGAATTCCTTCCCAATATCCCATCCATCCCTGCCTTCTGTCAGCGGGAAGCCACTGCCCCTTGTCCAGCCACTCATGCCCGCACAAAAACCCATTTTATCCGCAGGGAGGCCGATTCCCGCTCCTAGGGCGGTTCCGGATGCGGTTCCCCCGCTCCCTCGGCGGCTGTCCGGGGACGCTGTGGGGGCTCTCCGGGGCCGTTCCCCGGGCAGTCCCCCCCTCCACGGTGCCCGTACTCACATGCCAGATGGCGAAGAAGATGAGGGCGGCCGTGAGCAGCAGCGCCAACATATAGCAGAAGGCGGCGAACGTGAAGGCCATGGCGGCGGGGCCGCGCGGGGGCTGCCGGGCGCCTCAGCAGCCGCCGCGCAGCCGCCATGGCCGCGCCCACAGCGCCCCCTGCCGGCCCCGCCCGCCGCCGCCATTTCGTGAGGGGGGGCGTGAGGGGATGGAAGAAAAATGCGGAGTTTTCACCTTAAAGTGTGGGCGGAGGGAGTGCGATCGCGCTTTGCGGAGCGCGGTGTGAGAGAGGGTTGGCGTAGAATCATGGAGTCACAGAATCTAGTTTAGAAAAACCTACAAGATCATAGACTCCAATGACTCTTGTTACTGTCAACACACCAGAGCACTGAGTGTCATTTCCAGTCATTCCTTGAACACCTCAAGGTGTGAGAAAAGGGATGGGGACTCCAGACCTCTTTGGGCAGCCTTTTCCCAATGACTGACCACCGTCTCCATGGACAATTTTTCCATAATATCCAGTCCAAACCTCCCCTGGAGCTTTCTGAGGCCATTTCTCCTTGTCCTGTCCCTATTCCTTGGAAGCAGAGCCCGACTCCCCTGGCTGTGCCCTCCTGTCAGGAGCTGTGCAGAGCCACAAGGGCACCCCTGAGTCTCCTTTGCTCCAGGCTGAGCCCCTGCCCAGCTCCTTCAGGGATTCTGCAGCCCCTTCCCAGCTCCCTCAGCCTCTCCTGGTGCTCCAGACCCTTCCCTAGCTCCATTTCCTTCCCTGGGCACTCTCCAGCCCCTCAATGTCCATCCCAAACTGAGGAGCTCAGAGCTGGGCACAGCACATGGTGGCCTCAGCAGTGCCCAGCACAGGGGACAGTCCCTGCCCTGGTCCTGCTGCCACAGGCCAAGGGCCACCGACCTCTTGCCCACCTGGCCAAACCTGGGCTCGTGTCTAGCTACTGTCAAACAGCACCTCTAGGTCCTTTCCTACTTTCCAGACCCTCTGCCCCAGCCTGGAACGCTCCATGGGGTTGTTGTGACTCAAGTGCAGGACCTGACTCTTGGTCTTACTCAACCTTGGACTCTTGGTCTCAGTCCACTGATCCAGCCTGTCAAGGTCATTCTCCAGGGCCTTCCTGCCTTCCAGCAGATCCATACTCCCACACAATTTGGCATTGTCTGCAAATTTGCTAATGGTGGACTCAATCCCCTCAGCCAGATCATCAATAAAGACATTAAACACAACTGGGCCCTACACTGATCCCTGGGGGCACCAGCAGTGTGCAGCATCATTCCCCACTACTGTTTGGGCCCAGCCATCCAGACAGTTCTTAACCCAGCCTAGGGTAAACCTGTGCAACCCATGGACTGACAGCTTTTCCAGGAGTTTGTGTTGAAAGGGAACTTAAAAACCATCAATTTTCAACCCAGTGTCATGGGCAGGTACACCTTCCACTAGACCAGTCCAACCCGGCCTTGAACACTTCAGGGATGGGACAGCCACAGCTTTTCTGTGCAAGTCATGCCAGGGCCTCACCACCCTCACAAGGAAGAATTTTTTTCCTAATGCCTCATCTAAATCTTCCTTCTTTGAGTTTACATCCATTCCCCTGTGTCCTATCCCTACCTGATCATGTAAAATTCCCTGCTCAGCACACACTACATCTGGAGAAAAGGGAGATGGCAAATGAAGGAAGAAATGCTGAAGAAGGCTGTGCTGTGAGAGCCCTGGGGAAGGGAGGGCTGCTCATACAATCCCAAATCAATACAAATTGGAGCCTGTCCAACAGAAACAGCAAGATGAGAAAACAGTTTGAGGAGAAGATCGCCCCACTCTCCTTTCCAAAGGTCATGTAAAAGTTGTTTCAGTTTAAGCAGCGACACCTTGCAGTAAAGGCAAGCTGGGGTGACATTGCTGCAATCATTTCCTCTGGAGCAGAGTGAGGGATGATTTCCATAAAACCAACAGCTGCCAAACTAAATAATATTTTCCGGTGTTATCTGCTGGAAAGCTTTACACACAATTAATGGAGTGTCACAATGAGAGATGAGCAGAAACTTTATTTCCTTCACCAAAATACAGGAAAAGCTGTAGCAAATGAGCTGTCTTTAGGAAATCAGCTGTTGCAAAGATAAAGTTGATGTTTCAATACAAAATCACTCATCTCATCCACAAACTACTCCCAGTAAAAGTGCTGTGGCATCATTAAGACACATGAAACTTCGATGTGAAACCCAGAAAACAGATTATAAAATAAATTTTAGTGAAGATGAGCCCTGAACAACCTTTTCTAGTGGAAGGTGTCCCTACATGTGGCAGGGGGTTGGAACAAGATGGGGTTTGAGGACTCCCAACCCAAACCAGTCTGTGATTCTGTGACTCTGAGATTAATAAGAAGGTGAGAGAGTGGGGGGTGGGTGCTCAGAGCTGCTCTGAGCCATTCCCAGCTCTGTCCCAGGAGCCATCCCATTGCCTTGCAAGGACAGGCAAGACCACTGGGCAGTGAGAACATCAGGAAGGGCTGAGCCTGTTGTGGTTTCCTTGCAGCTCAGGGTGACAGGATGGGTTAGGAAGAGGGGCCCTGGCAGTGCATCACAGCCACCTTCCAACCATTCCTCATCCCTCACTCCCGAGGAGCCAGAAACAACAATTTCTGCAGTCCCTCTGCAATAACAGATTTCCTCATATAATTTGATGCTTCTTTAGCCTTATTTATTTGCAAATTGTTTATTTCTTATTTGGAATACCCTTGAGCTGCACAGGCACATTTATTCCCACAGACATTGGACTGACTGTGCTGGAAACTCCCTGGTGCAGGCTTTTCCAAAGCCACCCAAAGGCAGTTTGCCTCACAAGAGCTGTGGGAGGTAGAGAAACAGGATGTGTGCAGAGATGCTGTCATACCTTGGGGCTGGGGAATGCAGGTTTCCCACTGCAGTTTGATCCATTCAAGGTAGATACTTCAGTATTTGATGATTTCTTGTACATGAAAATGTTGTGCAACAGGGATGTGCAGTCTCAGAAGTAAAAAGGTGTGTCAGCCACATACTTGCATTTGCAATTAATCCTGGTTCTGCCTGGAGGAATGCAGTGTTTTATTCCCTCGGGTGCTGGCATACCATGCAACTGCAATTATCCTGTCAGGAAAAGAGGAAGGCAGCTGTAATCTTGCACAACAAAGATTTCTGCACTGAAGGATTTCTTTATCATAGGTTTTATTTTTTTTAAAGATAACACAAAAGGAAATTAAAAGTAAATTCTGTAGAAAATGGTCTAATCAATTCTCATTTCACATCCATTTGGTATCTCAAATCAAACAATGACTGAGTATCTTCTCTGATTAAACTTTGAAAACAATGCCAGGAAGCCACAGAGGAGCTCTGGAGATGGCCCACAGCTCTTAATGCACTTTCCCGTTAGTCTGGACACACTGACTTTAATCCTGATTGGAATCCCCGGGGAAAATGTCAGTGTCTGTTCCCTTCATCTTAAATCCCTCTCGAGTACTTGTCCTTATTGGAAAACAGCCGTATAATCGGTCATAATTCAGTGTGTAACAGGCTGTTCATGAGGAAGATTTTGGCAGAGAACTGTGAGGAAAGATTATGGAGCAATTTCTCTGAATTATGCACAGGTTAACCACATCCTTCTACATTAAAAATTGTCATTTCAGTTATAGATATCAAGTAGAAATCTAATACTATTGAACTTGGTAATAAAAATCCCACTGAGTTTAATAGATTTGACTTACTGGGTTTTCAGGAGAGGAAAAACTGAGTATATATCTACAATTTAAGGGGCTCATAAAAAGAAGAGGGAGGGACTTTTTATACCGGCATGGAGTGACAGGACAAGGAGGAACAGGTTCCAATTGTTAGAGGGCAGGGTTGGATGGGATATTGGGAAGAAATTCTTCCCTGTGAGGGTGGTGAAGCCCTGGCACAGAGAAGCTGTGGCTGCCCCTGGATCCCTGGAAGTGTTCCAGGCCAGGCTGGACAGGGCTTGGAACAGCCTGGGATGGTGGAAGGTGTTGGAATGATGGTGGAAGGGGATGGAATGAGGTGAGCTTTAAGGTCCCTCCCAACCCAAACCATCCTGTGATTCTGTGAATTTAGCGGAGACTCTCTGAGTATCTCTAACAGAGTCCAGCCAAGGTCACCTTCCTGCACCCCTGTAAATCCACATCAGGAGCAGCCAGAGCACAGAACTCCTCACCCACTTTCCCCCTTTATCCACTAACAGACATCGGTTCAGTCTGTCATCAGCAGGGTAAACAGATCCCTGCACTTGCAAATGCCCCAACTCCCCTTCCTCACTGGCAAACACCCTTTCCTATTGCACTAATTAACTCACCTCCAGAATGCCTGCTTGGGCTCTCCCATTCAGTAGTGCTCACATAAACAAATTAACATGATAAATTCCATTGCACATGAAAGCCAGTCTCAAGAGAAACAACCACATTTAAAACCCAATTTCAGACACGGGTGCTGCCAGGCATCTCACCAGGACTCATTACAGAATCCACCCGTGGCCTCAATCCCTCCAACATTCATGGTCAGATGGCAACAGTTTCCATTTAATAGGCTAAATACTGAACACTCAACCTGTCCTCATAAATAACAGGGCTTGTTTTTCTCATGCTGGGTAGAGCTCCTGTTAATGGCTTTCCACACAATTCTGAGCATGATAACAGTGTGTGGACAGGAAAAGAGAACAAGAGTTGTATTAAAATAAAATAAATTATAATGCATTTCAGGATTTGGCTGCTCATCAACAACAGAGGGGATTTTCCAAAACATTCTGCATTAGCCTAGCTGTAGCAGTGGTGGCTCCAAAATGTCACCCTTAGTCCTTAGCTCTTAGAATCCCAGAAGGGCTTGGGTTGGAAGGAACCTTAAAATCATCCAGTTCCACCCCTGCCATTGGCAGGGACACCTCCACTAGACCAGGGTGCTCCAAGTCCCATCCAGCCTGGCCTGGGACACTTCCAGGGATTAACATCCAAAAGGAGGCGAGATACACACAACTTCAGCTTTGTATCAGAAAAAATAAGCTGTGGAGGGCTCTGACTTTGGTCTTCCTGTTCTCCCACACACATCCCTTGTGCCCCTGAGTATGGCACCTTCA